GTTGTTGTTGTTGTTGTTATTTACATATATAGTTACTGTGACCGCCACCACGTGCCCGCACGCCCTCACGCTATAGCGTTTGAAGAAGAAAAAAAAGCAAGTGCTCAAGGTCATGACGCGCGCTGACGAAGAGCTGAAACTTTTCCCCCTGTCACCCCCCACCCGCTCCGTAGGTTTCAGTGCTCTCGCAAGTGCGAAAGAGAAAGTGCTTAAACGGGCCCTGCAACACTTTTTGAGCATGGTCAGAAAATTGCCGATCGGTAGCAGAGGCTCCCAAGAACACGCGAGGGAAGTATTCTCGGCCTGGAATTCACATTAAATTATCAAAGACAGCTAAGAATTACGTTTTCTTCTCTCGATAAATGACGGAAGACGCTCAAAAATAAATCGTGGAAGGTTTTCTATCAGCCACTGGCTGAATCATACATGACGTGCTCGGTCGTTACAGGGATCGCCGCGAGAGGCCGGGACTTGCTCACGCGTGCTCGCGCGATCACACCAGAAAAGCCGTGCATTCGAAGAAAAAAGGGGGGGGGGGGGGGCAAGGGCGCGCATTACGTCTTTCTTTGCCCCTGCCATCCCTCCCTGATTAGGTTCAGCGCTTTCGCCGGGATGAGAGAAGAAAGAATGCAATTGGAGCATGCGACAAATTTTTTGTAACTCCGCTCGCGCTGGGCGGATTTTTAAAACTTTTGCGGCGTGGAATTTGTGAGGCGATAAGATTTTTTAGTGAATCTATTTCATGGTTATCTGAAAAAGTGTTTCAGGGCCCCTTTAAAGTGTGCGACAAATCCCTGTAACTTTGCTCGTACTTGACGGATGCTAAAAAATTTTTGCGGCAGTTGAATCGTGAGGCAATAAGCTCTTTTAATGAAGTCATTCGACAATTACTTGTAAAAGTATTGCAAGGCCCCTTTAAGCAATCAGCTTGCAAACAACAATGACTGAACAGGTCGGACGAAGTAAAGGTATGGGGATGACTTGGCACCCCTCAGATGATAAGGGCTGCGGCCGCCAACCCCCCTCCTGCGCCCCCTCGTTCACAGGCCTATGCCTGGACAGTGCCCCAGATTATGGTAGAAGATCACGAAGCAAGAAGTGCAGGTATCGAGTTTGCTTGCCGTCGCCTTAGAAAGGCTGAGGCAGTGCCGTCATCAGGATAGGTATAATGCTGGGTGTCATGCATGCTTGACCGATAAGGCCCAATAAGGTCAAACAATTGCAGAAGGCGCTTTTGTATGCTCATGAAGTTGCTACGATACAGGTTCTTTTTAATTAACAAAAAAATCAAGTTCGGAGTAAGGCACATGTCGTTTCCACAGAGAGACCATGTACATCGCGGCGGAAATACTTAGCTGCTTCTGAAGTAAAATTGAATTGACTAAATGAAAATATTTTAATTGGCGTTATAAACTGACTGAAGGCATTTGTTTGGAAAAGTTGTAGGCCATCCCAATATAATACATTTTCATTCTTTAGAAATAAAAAAATGTCACACTTAATTTTAATAATACTGCCACGGTGGACTAGTGGTTATGGTGCTCGAGTGGTGATCCAAAAGTCGCAGGATCGAATGCCGGCTGTGACGACCGCATTTTGGATGGAGGCGAAAACGCTCGCCAGGGGGTCGAATTTTTTTTAGAACTCCTCTACGGCGTCTCTCATTATCCTATTGTTTTGCAGCATAAAACCCGGACAATTAGGACTAACAATTTTAAAGATTGCTCATGGATTCAAAACCTTGACATAGAAGGCGAGCGCACAGAATGGCAGCTCGCTACATCAGACCAGAGCTTCCCGTGACGAAGGAGCAATCAACTTTGTGTGTGTTTGAAAGAGAGAGAGTGGTCAGTGCAGAACCTAGTGACGAAGCACCAAAGGAGCGCGGAACCAAAAACCAATATACGCCTAGTTTTACATAATGTAGCTTCCAGTAAGGTTTTTCTTTAAATGAGCAATGAAAAATACCCAATGACTTTTTATTTCGTCGCTGAAAAGCAATTTCTGTTACAGGATTTTTCGAGTGAAGGGAGTTCATGTCAAGTCTTCCATAGTATCTCAAAATAATTTTGACAGTAATGGTCGTTTATTGTGCTAGTATGAATTTGAATAATGCAATTGTCTAATTTCATTAACGTACTTGGTGTAGTTTTGGCAAAACCGAGTTCCGGTGGTAGAAGCCAGCACTGGATTTTGTTGCAACTGCACATGAAACGTGCGTTTTATGTGTAGGTGAGTAACACAACACTCTTTGAAGAAATACATTCGGTTGCAACCACCCACGTATGATGATGTTTTGGGGTGTCTGTAGAAACTGCTAAAAATGTGATATTGTCTCGCTCTTTTCGTCAACTGCAGTGATGTGTATTCCCAGCGGCTATGACTGCCTCACGAAGCAGCTCTTGGTAGTCGGAGCTCATTGTGATCACATTAGTGGCCTTTGGCAGTTATCCTACTAGCCTAGCTAAAATTGCTGTATTAAACGTAGCTTTCCTGGTAAGTTGGTGCACTTATTTCATGGTAGTGGTTTAGGCACTTCACAGCAAATAATGTCACCCCGCTTAGTTTATTCATCTGACCACTACAGAATGATCATGGTATGCATCTGACACTCATACACAAAGTGTTGTGATGCTAACATGGACATTTTCACACGGGTAGTTGAAGGACTTCTTAAATGCTGAACTAAGAGCACAGTGGTTGATGCATGTCTGCCGGGGCAAGTATATATCCACAGTGACCTCAGTGGTCTTTAGGAATCCTTTTTGACAACCAAAACAATTAACCTCTGTCAGGCTGCTCAAAATGCATGCCGTGTCTGGCAAAACTTCTCATAACTCACCTCAAATAAAAAACTGTGTTTTGTAATGCATGGTTTCAGATATTTTTGCTATTATTTTTGCAAATATCAGCACCACAAAAAAGTGGCCTGATGTTAAGTATGCTAGCCAAAATAATACTCACATTACGTGTTTTTATAACAATGAAATAACATGTTTTTGTATAGTCTAGCTTAGAAAAGACATAAAAATCATTTCTCAGGCTTATGTAACTCTGAAATATACTAGGTCTAATCAGTTTATCAGCACAAAAAATATATGCTGCTCATTTTAGAGTAACTGAAAGTTCCAAGCTCTTCTTGATACCTTAATATTGTCTGTACACAAGGAAATACTTCAAAATCTGGAAAATCATACAAACACGCTAATGCTACTGCTTGCACATGAAATTAGAACAAAATATATGATTTTCTTTCACGTTCACCACTTACTATTACTAAATTACCTTTGCCTAATTATGGATCAAGGAGAATTGAGGAGCTCATTTTTTTATTAGGCACAACCCAACGAAGCCAACAGACAGTAATGCCAAGAAAGGCATAAAGGGCATTACTTGTAGTTTTTAATTGTGGTATAGTAATTGTAGCATAAACTGAAACAAAATTTGAACCTACAGCATTTGAATAATGGGGCATGAGTTCATAAGAAGATTAATGCAAGCACTTTAAAAGAAGACGAGCTTTTTAAAATGGTGTAGCATTACTTTCAGGAGTGCTCCTACCATGCAGTCAGCGCAGCTGGAGTTTTTCCCGCTTACCTCCGTGCATTTGTCAAAACATTACTGACAGTGTGTGCTGTGGTGAGGGTATGCCTAGTGATTATATGTGATAATTGTTGCATGAGGTTTGCGAAATTTAGTTATAGATGAATTAAATCTATGTGAATTAATATTGTATGAAATGTTAAAGTGACTCAAAGAGGAATGCAATGTGAATGAACTCCTTTGCAATTAAGCCTTAGCACGTAGAACCTGTGGTTATGCATGGGTAACAGAAAGAGGACAAGTAATGGCAAGTAATAATGTAATTGACTCTGACCATCAAAGTAATTTAATGAGTGTCTCGTGAGAGCATAGGCTTTCACGTATGCTCTACTTTATGTTAACTGAAGACTGTAAGTTCATTTTGTTTGGTGCTGAAGGTGCAAGCACTGCTGCTATCAAAGAGGTGTGGCACGCAGGCAGTTAAACAAAATAGACACCTACATATCTGCTTAAGATTTCATTAGTGTTCTACTGCTGTTTTCTCATCCAATATGCCTTCACTTGTCATACATGAAAAAAGGCTGCCTCATTAACAACAGATAGATACTTCAACTTAGCCAGCAGTGGGCAAGCTCGTCTCCATCTTTTGAAGCCCCGAGTAAAACTGAGTATGCTAATATAACAATGGGCACTTGTTTCCTTCTTTACTTATCTCTATCTCTCACCTTTTATTTAGGCAGCACACTTTTTTATATTTTCTATTTTCTCAAGGGAAACAGTAGCCTAGTTCTCTAGCCTGGTATGGGTAAGAGCTGTTGCTGTAGTGTTAGATTTCAGAAAGAAAGAAGAGATGTGGGGAAATGTGCATTTGCTGAGCTTTCAATGGAATCAAAAAGATTTGTGTGTGTGTGTTTGTGTGTGTGCACATGTGTGTGTGTGTATGTGCTTTTTTTTTGTGAAACTTTTGTTTATTTTAATGCTGTGGCAGCTATGCCAAACTGTATCTGCAGCCGTATTGGGAGCACATATACAGTCATTTGCCCAAGTTTTTCACTTAATTCAATTCAGCTCATTTTCCATTTAACATTAGCATCCTCTACTGTGTAATTATTGACCATATTGAGCAATAATTGCACTGTTCACATTCATTAGGATTTTTGGCTTGCTGTTTTGCAGAATGCATTTAGCCTGTAAAAAAATGCCAGTTGCTGATAAGCATTGTTTACATGCAAATACATTCATTAAGGCATGCTTATTTACAATAATTTTTATCGTAAGCGTGTGCTCAATGTGTCATGTATTTTGACCGGGTTTATTTCAACTTGGTGTGTGTTTGGACTGCATTTATTTATTTCAAGAAAGGCCTTAGCATATATGATTTATTATCTGTGCATAAGAGACAGCTTTTAAGGTTTGCTGCACATTCAGTTAGTAACAATGGTATGTTCCTCTTGCAGTTTCATCATCACAACCCCCGCAGCGGCCATGGGTACAAGTGAGACATGCAGTGCGATCTCATCCTTCAAGTAAGTGGCCTAGCCTCAAATTTCATCCCTCCTAGCTTTGTCTCTCTGTTTCTTCTCCCTCCTTTTTTCTTTGTGAAAAGGAAAATAATGGCATATTTTCTGAACTGCATCTTAAACATGCTCAGCTCCACCATTACACTACTACATTCTATATTCACTGGAAAAACTGGATTCTAAAGTGAAAATAGTACTAATGTACTATGTGCTGCAGTCAAAACATCGCAGCTTATATCATGCAATAAGCTATCTTTCATGTAGAATATGAAACTCACAATAGTGCTCATTTTAGACATTGCAGAGTCATTTATTAAAGTTTTACGTGAAGTGCACAAGGTCTTAATTTTAAAACATTTTAACCAAAGGTTCATGCTGTAATCATTTTAATATTCTCAAAACTTGTCATCTCTTTTAAGCTAGAATATGCTCTTTAAAGTCTTTTTAAGGCACATATTAAATGGGAGTTTTCGTCTAGAAATGTATGTTTGATGCATTAACTCTTTTCTGAGTTTGACAAGGAGAGACATGCACTGCTGCAAGTTAATGCCTCGGTCACATGGCAAATCTAATGTCACTTACAGTGAAGGACATAAGGTGAACTTAATGTAATTTTACCTACCGATGACCATGACCTTATTTCTTCCTCTATTGGGCGAAATAAAGATTGATCCAAATCTGCATGTAACGTGTGTGTATCCTTAAAAATAATTTTTATCACGAGAAAGCTGCTCCAAGATTACTAATGCAGCAATTTCACACAATTAGCCTCAAGTGCACGACACAAATGAAGCCAAGCTTCTAATTAAGCCAACATGGCTAACGACATTATAGAGTGTGGGAGCCCGACTAACACTCTGGCAGCAGAAATGAGATAGTGGCAGCTAATTCATATAGGAAACGTGCACTAAGCCAGTGGCACCGCGGTGCTGGAGTGAACAAAAGAAATTGGCGTGCTCCGTGCAGCAGCTGATTCATGGGCGCAGCCATGTGAAGTTGTTAGCGGTGCTTCACAATGACACATATGGATTGCTGTGTCGTAAACTGTGCCACTAGCTATTAGAACTACGAACCAGCAACAAAGTTTTTCAGTTTTCCGCGGTGCTTGTGCTTCAGATAATGGCGGGAACACTGGATTAGTGTACGTCGTGTGAAGCAAGTGATCCTGCGGGCCTGTTTATGAAGTACATGATGTAGCTAGTTCACTGTGAATTTACTCTTCATGCAAGTTAACTGATATTTTTAGCGTGCTGAAACAACCCAGGGACAGCCGGAAAAGTGATCTGTAGTTTGCAGTGGAAAATACGTTGGCAGAAAGCAATAGACAGATCCAGCAATTCTTCCTGATATGCTGCTACTGTTTTTCTGCCGTATCACAGTTCGTAACCAGATAAAATGTGTCGCAGACCACGAGAATTTCACAATTTATTTCCCATCTACTGTTATAGCCCTTAACAGCACAGTACGTGCAAGTGAAGCTGCGCCACGCCGTTCTATTGTGCTACATGACAGCTGACATAATGCATGCAAAGCTGGCACATGACAAATTTACTCAAGGACTCATGCAGGCCGAGCAACGCTTACGGAGTGCAAATTCCACGCATTACTAAATGCAACACGTGCAGTTCAGTAAACGTACGTATTACTTGTGTGCATAGTAAGAGGTTTTCTAACACTTGTCAGACACAAATGCCATCGTTTACTCAACAATAGACGGGCAAAATTACAAGAAGTAATGTTTACGAAAATCGATGGAGACGGTCTGTGCTTCGAGCTTTACACCAGCCAGCAACACGGATCACTCGTTGAGAACACTCAACCACGCATCTGTGCTACATCACATTGAAAACATAATGGCTTCTGCAAAATTAGGTGCTGTCTCTTCTTTTGGGGCTCCAAACGAATCATGCATGGGTATCTCTGGAAGCCTACCCACTTTATCAAACCTGTCACCTTTGCACACACGTACTTGCATACAACGCAGGCTTAGCTGACAGAGAGACGGCGATTCGTAGCACAGCAGTTGAACCTTAAGTGGCCGCAAGTCGCTGCTGGAAACGTATAGGTGCGGACCGTGTGGTGCACTGCTGCGCCCTCTTTAAGTGCAGCATGTTTCCCATAGCGACCGCATTGATCACAAAAAAAAGGGGAATCAAACGACCAGCATCAGTGATCCAAGCACACAAATGCAGGCACACAAATTACTGGTGTCCAGCCTATACAGTCACTGCAATTAGGAGTAGCTTTCTCTTGAAAACGATCATGCATACTAATATGTCATCTAACCAGCAGTTAGCAGTTAATCTAGTTAAGGATAGGTTATTTACGAATTACTAAAGTTCAATAAACTTAAGTCGGTAGCAATCTCCTTAAAAGATTCATGACGTTGAAACTACAACTTCAGTCCAAAATAGAATATGAATGCGTTTTCTGAGCTCATTTTACAGGAAAAATACCATTTCTTCGAATGGCATTATTTTTCCTGTGTCACACTAAACAAATCACATTCACTGTAATTGGCATTAGATTTGCTGTGTCGTAGAGGTAAAAGGTACTCTTTTGAATGCCATTTTGGTCATGCACTGATTATGTGCACCATGGAAGTGAAGTTAAAGCTGTCCAGCGAGCTGATATTAGTATCAAAATCTTAATAATTTAGCCTTAGAAATTATGATTTCTGACAAGGAGCTTTGGTTGGGTTTGAATAAACCATCATGGAAGATGGTCAATTTCTTATAGGAACCTGGAAAGCCTTAAGCATAGTATACTTTTGCATGTAGTTGGTTACTGGTCTCGGGCCACGCATCATGGATTTGTGGCATGTGCCAAAGAAACTTCGGTCAGATATTAACCCATTAATTCCCAGTATGAGAAACATTTTTCCAAACTTCAAAATATTTCTTGGCCACGTCCTTAGAGTCACTAGGAGTGCAAATTTTCAATAAAAAATATGAAGATATAGTCTGCAAATTAATAATGGGATGTTGCATATGTGCAACAATGGGCAGTAGTGTATAAAATGAAGGCCAAGCCAAGTGAAAGAAACTTTTTATTGCTACCAATAATTTTGGGGAATTTTCAAATTGAAGAAAGCACAATACAAGCATAGCTGTTTGGCGCCTACTGGTGAAAACTAACAAAACAGTTACGGTCTTTGTTGAAACACATCACCTTACACTTTGCACACGAAACTTAGGTGTACCCTCCTGGGCATGCCTTGCAGCGGTTCTGTTTTGCATTCCATGTGGGCCAGTGCTCATTGCTGTCTCTTCTGACATCCCGGGGGACATTTAGGCACACTTTCTTGAATGGTGTGACATTCTGAATCGAAGGGCGCCCTGGTGGTCGTTTGTTGAGCAAGATCAGACTCGTTGCAAGCTCAGAGAGGAAATCTCTCAAGGGTGTAGGCGGCAGTTTGTGCTTTTGGAGAATTCTCTTGTGCATGAACCATGCATTAACAGCTGCTATTTTGAGCGTGTGCCAAAACAAATACATATACCAGCGTTTAGACCTGATAGAAAAGCGATAGGAGAAGCACATTTTGTCTAGAAGATCCACGCCGCCCATTGATCTGTTGTAGGAAGAAATGATCGCTGGACAATTGACAAAAATATGCTTTTTCTCCTTGCTGTCCCACCTTTTGACTGATGTAAGCGGGTCAGCACCAATGCAGTTCGAAAGAAGAGTAACAGTGCGGTTGTCATGCCACTTCACTGCCACCATTGTCTTTTGGTCACATGAAGTGGCTGAAGTATCACAGGTGTCCCGACCTCGCCTTTTCGATTTCTCATCCATCAACTGAGTCTGTTTTCACGAACCGTACCAATATAGGAAGTTCTCATTCTTGAAAGCTCCTCTACAAGCTGAGGGCCTGTGAAGAAGTTATCAGCGACAACTAGGTTGTCGTCTCGCTTCGGTAGGCTGGAACACAGCTGGAGCACGACACCAGCTCCCAACCCAAGCTGATAGCCACCCTGGCTGCCATAAAAACCTTTGTTGCAGCGCTGGTAGACATCGAAATCATAACACAGACCTGATTCCCCAGAACGTGCCCAAAGTTTTAGACCCCATTTACTCTTTGCTTTATTAGGAATGTACTGACGAATGTAACACCACCCACAGAAAGGGATCAAGATTTCGTCCACTGCAGATTTTTTTTCTTGGGGCAAGACAACCATGTTGCTGCGCAAGGAACTAAGCCATGGGCGCACTTTCCAGCATTCGTCTTCTTTTACTTTGTCATTGGCCGCTTCATTATCGAAAAAATGCAGGTGGCTTGTGATCTTTTCAAATCTGTTACGGGACATTACCTGACCTACTAATTCATATGTACTTCTATTTTCCCAGTAAGCACAAACCCTGTGCATGTTTACAAGTCCTATCCTGAAAAACATGCCCAAAACACATGTAAGTTCTTTCACGGTGAGGTTTATAGTGGCTCCATGTTTTTGAAAGCAGTACTTATTGCTTTCATCGACGACAGCCTTTAGCATGAATCGAGAAACAAACATGTCAAAGTATTCCGCTGCACTCAGCGGCTCTGCAGGTGGCAGCGGAAAGTTGTTCTCGAAACTACCTGCCTCGATATCAAAATCCTTCTTCACCCATGTGTACCGCCTTTTCATGTTCTGCAGTATCCGATCTACTGGAGGCGCATCTGTCGAGGTAGCAACCTCTTCCTCAGCTTCTTCTACCTCAGTTTGGATGGCATCTCCTTCATCACTGCTGTCTCCAGACACTTTTTCGCCACTTTTTTCATCAGCGGAAAAATCGCTCTCATTAGGGTTGATAACATCCAGCAGGTTTGCATGAACAAAACGCTTCGGCCTCTCTTTTGGAACTGAATAGAATGTTGAGGTTGAAATTGCAGTATGTCCCTGAAAAATCGTTAAAACAGCAAAATTAGCAAACAAACATCCGTTCACACACTGCACATGAATGCGTGTCACGATATGTACGACGCGTTTTAAGCAGAAAAGCAATGTTGCATATCTGCAACAATGAAAATTGTGGCATTTAGTGCCCACTGTTGCATATGTGCAACACACCACGTGCAAAAAATATTTTCTCGAACAGAGCAAGCAAAAAACTAACTGTTGGGTTCTAGATTACTGTCAAGAGTGTTTAGAACACACATTCAGTGAAAAAATCAGCGCAGCTTAACTTGTGGGCTTATAAAAAAATATTTACAGTACCTTGATTGCGGAGCTCGACGACGACGTGGATGCTGCCATTTTACAAACTGCAGATACGACGAATGTGGCCCCCAAGCGGCCGAAACTGGTACTGTGTGGAACGAAGAACCCTCGAAATAGCATAGTATGGACAACTTTTACCAGTGCATCAGGATCCTTGCTATCGGCAGGGCACGGAACTGGGTGTTGCAGATATGCAACAAGGGGCAATAATGGGTTAAAGCTGTAAATTTTAGCAAAACTGGCTGTCAAGAATGTCTCGAAAATGTGAAGCCTGCTAATGCCTATAAATAGTATCCAAGTGTCACCATCAGCACTGATACAGTTGCACCAAAACTCACCAACGACGGAGTGGCCCATCTTTTCCAACGAACAATGGCGATTCATTGCTTCCGTCACTCTTGCTGATAAGGCCTTGCGGCAAATGAGCAAAACCGTGTTGTGGAAAATTTGTGCAGGAGTTTCAGGACGCTATCACTTGGCAATTGTTATTAGACATCCCTTGAAAGCATGGGCCTGGCCGATGCAAAAGACGCACTTGCCCCCTTCAAGTCTCACAAGCACTTGCCTACGCCCAAGCTACACTAGTGCTGTCCCCCTCCCCCAGCCACGATGCAACACTGGTTTGCACCCCCTTATAGAAAAATTCTGCCAACGACCAATGCTTGGAGGTCTGGTCACCACACATAAGACGAACTTTGCTTATTTTACTACGGAAACATGAACAACACGAAAACACATGTTACAAAGTGGGTAACTACGACAGCTGTCCGCTTGCTTTCTCAAGAATCATAAGCAAGTTCACCGCCTATGGTGATTTCATTGGCACTCACTAGGCATATAGTGCCTTGGGTTTCTCCTTTCTTTTTGTGGCCACTACACAAAAATTGTTGCTTTTTATGTAATTCATCAGCCTTTGCTCACATCCTGTTGTTGATACAACACTACTTGAACTGATGAAGAAAACAAGTGCAAGAAAATCAATCTTGGTGGTGATATGCCCGGGGAGGGGTTGAGGCTGCCACCCAGGATCCGGCGAAGGACGACTCTTGCGACGCGTCTCACGCACAAGTAGAAGATGCGTTTAATTTGCATATTTGCAAGAGAAGTACATTTCAACGAGAGTGTCCTGACGCGCCTTTCCATCACAAGGGCCCAGAGCGCACTCGAGACGAGCGGGCCAGCGAAATCCAGAGAGAGAGCCCCGACCGCACACGCGACGCGCTTTTTATACCCCTCGTCCGTGCACGTGCATCTTCTCAGGCGCAGGCTGTGTCCCCCAGCGACGCGGATGTGCGTCTCTTGCGGCGCACACAGACGCCTCTCGCGTTCCTGCAGGACGCGGACAGCGTCTGACCGTTATGCCGATGAGCGTCCCTTGCAAGCCACCTTCTTGCTGTGCCGGTCATAACAGTGGTAGCCAATTGATGCTGAGCTTTTTATTGCAGTGCAAAGGTACTTCCAAAATGTCAGTCATGGACGCATTTATTTTTTTCTACGAGCCAGCAACCCATTAAAAAAAAAAGGCAAAGACAAACATGTGCTTCATGAATTTGCGCATAGGGCTGAAGTTGTTCGAGTGTAGTTTTGAACATTTGAGAATCCTGAAACAACAAAACCAACAAGCATTTTTTTAATATATACAGAATAGTAAAGTGCCACGCAAATTTCACTATTATAACTAATAATTGATATACAAGGGCTATATAAAAAAAGCAAAATAGGCGGACAGCATAATGAGAAACTTACGATATCGGATTGGATATGCCAACACACATCAGTGATGAGGATGACAAAACTGCAAATTTTTTGGACGTGCTTGATTATTCTGGCGTTTTCACGGGGCTACCACAAGCCCCATACAGCCATTGTGTGACATCTGAAGTTTTGAACCCGACAACTCTTGCAAGTTTTAAATTTATACTGAATTTTCATGTCTGAAAGTTCATCATCAGAAGCTCCTACCACTCCTGCACCATTGCGGATTTCAGAATTTAGCTTTGCCACAATGCTATGTGGTGAAGCATACCTTGCATTCGATGGGGCACTGGATGATGAAGGGGTGTTGTGGGCCAGAGCTCAGCAGCTTGAACTTTTTGTTTTTTTCTGTTAAGGTGCAAGCCTTTAATTTCTCATACTCATGACTGGCTGCATCTATCCGTGTACTGAATGTTAGCTTACCCTACCTTCAAAAGCACTTGCACTTTCCAGCACGTCTTTTCCAGCACGTCTAGCTTGGGATGATATTAACCGCAGCATGAAGCACCACCCTGAAAAGCCTTTAGTTCTACTTCATATCCGTTGAGCTAATGTCACCAAATGTAAACTATGAAGCCCACATTTCTTAAAAATAGAGATCGAAATATCAAAAGCTGTAACAGAAGGATCATTCATAGATCACAGCCAGTGATAAATACCGGGGCTTCATGTTTCTGCTTTACTGGTTAATCATCTGAAGCTATAGTGAATGGAATGAAAAGCTTTAGTCCTGCAGGACATGCTTAGCACGTAGGGACCGACAGGGAGTACCTGGCGGCCGCTTTGTGGGCCTGCTGGATGACCCATTGCTGGTCGGCAAGAAGTGAGCTCCTGAGGGACCTCTCCCACTTCTAAAATTCCAATACACTATAGCTTTAGCAGTGTGGGTATTAAAGCTCTCTCCCCCTTACACTCTCTGAGCAATTACGTGATGGCACAGCGGTGCACATGGCAAGGCTCCTTTGTTGGATATCTCGTTGCAGCAGTTGAGTTAGTTGGACGACTCCCAAGCACACGTATCTTCCTTTAGCCTGGCCAAGATTGGAACACTCATGCCAGGAAGGGCACGCGTGCATCGCGTTCTATTTTTTCTAACCCCGCCTCAGTGGGCACAGGCTTTCGCCAAACACACTTTGGAATTTACAAACTGTCCTTCAATTTTTTTTTCAAGGATTTCGCATTGCGTTACTATTTGGCACAGACCCCCAACAGCCATAATTTATTGTTAAAACCGATGATGTGGCATGCAGGCATTGCTGTAAGTGGGTTATTTCATCATAGAAAACAAGTTGACTGTGAAGCAGCTTCTCATTGTTATAAGCAATATAAAACTAGTAACGCTGTAAGCATAGGTCGGCCAACCCACTTGTGAGTCGACTCTCTTGGACCCACTCAGATCGAGCCACGAATTAGAGTGAGTCAGGGTGAGTAATATTTTGGTGAGTCTTAGTCCAAGTGAGTCCGGTTGAAAATTTTCGTGAGTGTGAGTCCGGGTGGATTCGTCCCTGGAGACTTTTGGTGGGTCTGAGTCTGAATGAGTCAAAAGGGCAAGATATATTTTGTCAATGAGTCTGAGTCAGTTTCACTCTCTTTTGACGGCGTATGGTCCTATTTACTCATCTTCAGCATTGCTATTAGCCTTTCGTGGAGTCACATTTATACTCGCACCTGCTCGCACGAATTCCAAGGTAGTGTCATTCATACATCATTTCAATATTTATTGATCAGAATAGCAAATTACTTCGGGTGTGCCTTGACCTCCTTCCCCAACTCTTACGGAGAAGTTCTTGATAAATATATGTTCTGTTGTCATCTTTTTCAAGAAAAATTACCTTACTGGTTTGGAAGCACTTATAACCGGTATTTGGAGGTACTATGTCAAAAGCTGCCAAGAGCACCGATTGCGGGAAGTGAGTTATTGGTGTTAAAGATAATAGACACCATTGTCAAAAAAGCTGATTCCAGAATAATGGACTCATGAGTCTACTAACTCGGACTTGTTCCGACTCAGCTTGAGCCACGAGTTTGAGTCTGAGTGAGCCGGAGTGAGTTACGTATATTTTGGCGAGTGTGAGTCCAAGTGAGTCTGCCTGAGAAAAATTTTGATGAGCCTGAGTCCGAAGTGAAAAAATATATTTCATGGGTGAGTCTGAGTGGGCTCCACAACTTATGCCAATCTATCGTTATAAGTGGGTTTGAATGTATTGATAGTTTTACGAGGCAGGGAATCTTTTATTGTGTCACGAGCTAAATGCAGGCACTATGGTTATGTATGTTGGGCTCACCTATTGATGATTGTTAAAAGCAGGAGCAATTAGTGCTTTGCATAGTAATTTGTGCTTTGGATAGAAGAGTAAGAACAGAGCTTGTAGCATGTGTTAACATGTGCCTTGCTTTAAGCACATTTTCAGTGCATGCACTGCTGGCTTGATCTTGACATGTCAAGTTATGAAAATGTAATCACCATGTGGCTACCTCTGGTTCTGGCTGTGTTGGCTTAAAACCTGTTCTTTCTAGTTTCTTCTTTGTTTAAAATGTTTTCTTGTTTTTTTTCTAGCTTCATTCACAGTGATGTGCTACAATGTGTTGTGCGACAAGTATGCCACGAGACAGGTGTATGGATACTGTCCAGTCTGGGCACTTAGCTGGGAGTACCGCCGAAAAGGAATAATAGATGAGATTCGGCACTATGCAGCTGACATCATCTCTTTGCAGGTAATTTTCTAAATGTTTCACAGAATTAATATCCACCATACCAGCCTGCTGTCTCATAGGCATATTAAATATTCAGGAGCCTGGCTCCCCTTGCCTGATAATCAGCACTACTAAGCAGCCAATTTATGCATGGGAGCCTGCTCCCACGAGCAAATGGGAGGCCTCCGCAGGCTACTTGATGCCATCTGCATGATACTGTGCTACATTGCAGTTACTGTTACCCGGATAGCAAGCATATTGGGATAAGTTAAATGATTCAAGCATTACATTACTTCTTGCAGTCTTTGTGCTGCCTTGGAACTTTCTGTACTGATGCACATTACTTAGCTCATTACTGTTGTCAGTCCCCCTTATTATATTTTTTTCTTACTATTCTCTTTCTTCCTTTCCCTTTTCTCAGATCACTTTCTTTGCGGAACATAATAATATAAAAAGTTGTTACTGATAATTCACTAATCATTTTATCCTTTCATCTTTATCTTCTAGGAGGTAGAGACAGAACAGTTTCACGAATTTTTTCTGCCAGAACTCAGACGAGATGGTTACGATGGCATCTTCTCTCCAAAATCGCGAGCAAAAACAATGTCTGAGAGTGACAGGAAGCATGTTGATGGCTGTGCTATCTTCTTTCGAACTAGCAAGTAAGTAATGTCTTTTCTCAGAAAAACGACTCTCTGTACATATTTATTGCCTAGGTAATATTTCTATTTGTACATTTGTGCCTCTAATTTTTATTATGTTGCATCATTATTTTTCTTTCCTTGGATGTGGTGCCAGTGTGTGAATTTTTATATGCTGGACAGAAATTTTTCCTGTTACATTTTGAACATCCATTCTGTGCAGTCTTTTTTTTTTTTTGTGCAGGTTTTAGTGCACTCAAGCAAACAGCTGAGAAAATTTGAGCATAAATCATCATCAGTCTAAAAGCTCAGATTAGCTCTTTGCTGAAATAAATTATGGACAACGGTGTAATGACATTGATCCAGTGAATGCAACTATAGTTGAACCCCTTTATAAGAAGCATGCTCCGGACAGCAATTTTTGTCTTTTATAGAGATGTCTCTTATAAGCAGGGTACCACGTAAGCATTTTCCTATTAAATTGTATTTTACTTTAGGCACACTGGTGTCTGTTATAGCCATTTATCTCTTATATCAGTGTCTCTTATAAGGCGGTTCAACTGTGTATAATTCTCATATTGAAATTGTTGTTTATGTAGCTTGTAAATTAAATACTTGCCTTGCCTTTTTTTATCATGGGGTAGAAGTTTTTAAACATTGCATGAATACAGCAGTATTGTTACAGTCAGAGTAGGAAACAGAAAAAACAGTTTTACATGGCACATGCTTTATTTTCACATAAGTAAATCGACAGCTCATCTTGAGGCAATGTGTCAAGTTTCTGGCCTGACTGCACAGTGTGCTGAAATTTATGCACTATTACTAATGTACTAATGTGCATAGCTATGGGCAGAGCTTGGCTGGACACATGACTCTAAATGAAATTCTTGTGGTCTACCTACCGAATGAGGCTAGCACATTTTAATAGCACACTGAAATATATATAAAACTTCATAGCCAGAAGTACGGCAAGGTTTTATTCAGTCAAAAAAAGACCGCTGTTGGGGGATGTGAACTGTAGCCTAACTTTACCTTCCATGTAGTCGAATTTCACCGACCCCAGAACCATATGAATTTCTTGGCTCAGTAGCCTGGGTAATATCAATAAATTTTGTTTCATAGTTCTAGCACTGGTAACAAAATTACTTAATTCTCAGCTTATTTTTACTACACTTTTTATTATATTATTGAGATACAGTTGTGTGCACATTTTTGTACAGCACTGATCTATATTAATCATTCTAGAAGTTCTTGATGCTGTGTTACCTTGCTGCAAAGATATACTGCAATTAATGAGTGACTAAATGCTCATCTGAGAGGTTCAGCGTGACTATTGATAAAAAATAATAATAAAATAATAATAACTGGTTACATGAACGCCCGATCTTACATTCTACAGGATCATACAGCATTCCCAAGTTGACTTCTGACAAGCAACTAAAGTGTTTGATTAAGTCATAAGTTGCAGAAGGACTGTAATAGTTCTTCTATTAACGATAGTTTCGGTAATTTATCCTAAAAATTGGGTTGTTAGGTTGCATGCTTTTTCAGGAAATCGCTTATGATAGAACCCCCTTGATTTCACTCTTGATAACATCATATTTAATGGTGTAACACATTTATATGGAACTTAATGCTGATAAGCATCTCTTTCCTAACTTATCTTGCCAAAAAGCTCCAATTCCTTTCATGTACAGGCTAGGTCCATCACCAACACAATGAGGGACTCTGTACAAATACATAGCTGGGTAATTCCACACCAAATGTCCCAAACATTTTGGCACGGATCTCAAATGCATTAGAAAAATATTGTACTAGTTTATGGCATTGAACACAATAAATTGCTAGAATATTTGACAGGAAAAAAATTTTAGTCACATGGGAGAGCCTTCCGAATTTACAATGTCAGGTGGGTGCTGTTTCTCCAAAAATTTATTGTGGCAGTATCGCTTCTTGTTTCAATACCAATTCGGTTTACATATCATGAAAATGTGTGTGTGCAAGGTGTTTGAAGCTGCATAATATCACTGAAATCTTTCTGTCGTATGCATTTCCTGAAATTTTGCCAAAATTTCTATGTTTGCTCTTCTTTCATTGTAATATTGTGCTATGTGGGAGTATGGGAGTACATTTGAAAAAACTATTTGCAAACTACTAAATTTTAAGATTTTAGGATAAAAAAATTACATATTTGACCGAATCATCATTTTCGTCCACAGTCGGATAAAATTTATGCCACAGAGTGCTCCAAATAAACACTAGCTTTGTGCCTAAATTGAAACCAAATAAACAGTTCTTCTTATTTAGCTAGCTTTTTTTTACGTTATTTGTTTTGTTTTAAAGTATTACTTCTTGAAGTTCCCTGTTGATGACAATGAAAAACTTTAATTAAAAAGTTGCCATATGACCAAATAGCACGATAACTGTCGATGGAGAAATAATCTCTAAAGTTGCACGTTGAGTATATGTCAGAAAAATTGCAGTAGTATTACTGAGCCTCAAATACTTTACGGAAATACTTTTGCTTAATAGTAAGCTTATAGTAATGACATAGTAATGCCTATAGTAATGATATAGGTGTCACGACGAGTTAGCGTGAATTATAGGTAAGCACCACCCACTGAAGTTGGTCTACGTAGCACTATCCAGGGCTGCCATCCTCCCAAGCATAAGATCTACATTTTAACTTACTTTTTCTGGTGTTGGTAATACTTGTGTTGCTCTTGGTATTGCAATGCAGCTTTAAACTCAGTATATAAAACATAGGTGGCTCTTCAACATACATGTCTGTGCACATAACATTTGTACATATGTTTAACATATTTTCATAACTTTTCACCTAATAAAAAAATTACGCCACAGTCACTTTCCTGCCACATGCTTTGCAAGACATCATTTTCATGGCACATGGGATCAGCCAAATTTTCTTTAATATATTTGATATCATTGCCGAAATGGCTGAAATTAGTGGCATGAAATGACGGACCCAGATTTCGCACTTACTAATACTTTGTCCTGGTGTTTGCATGAAGATAACATTTGCTTTTCTGCATTCCGTGAGGTGTATTGTTTTCAGATATAATCTTGAAAAGTCACCCACTTAAATAGAATTACTTGCATACAATGCGATGATTAAGGTAGACCAATACCTGAATGCTCATTCATTGTTTGGGACCCATTTACTTAACACAGTATTGATCTGTTTCGTAAGGATAGAGAAAAACTGCAAAATTTAGTTATTCAATATTTTTTCCGTATGCCTGACCTTCTGAAACAATTTAGGCTGATGACATTCTTTACGTTTCCAGTTTCTTATCTTGATTCCGAATAGGGACCTAGCAACTAACCCTTCACCCTATCTATCATCTGCAACATCAAAGCGCACTTGTCATCATCATTCTAATTCATGGACATGTTTATTGGAACATATTCATTCAAGTTTCCATTTTTTCTTGCACTGGAGTAGATTTAAATGATTCTTTATCGCTTATTGCCAATATATGATACTGCTTGTACGCCCCCTACTTAGGCCTGTACATGATTTACAGTATTCGATAAAGATAGCAGCATAACCAGCTGCTGCAGGTACATAAGCTTTATATGAGAAATAAGTTACCTCTGAAGTAGCATTGCTGACTGCTAGATAAGTCATGCACAATTATGCTTGGATAGGTTTTTTTTTTTAGCATCTCTTCACTGCAGTCAAACCACCTTTGCAGGGAGCTAGTGAATATCATGGACTTATGGACTTGGTATTTAGCAGTGAGCTTTTTCTTTTTGCGATTCAAAGCTTGCTCCCACCTATTGAATTGCATCAAATTTCTTTGGCGGTTCGTCACAGTGAACATTGGTTTATACCCAATGAAGAAAAAATAATCGCATGCAATTGATTCAATTCACTATGTCGGATTCGAAACCTCGATTATAGCAACATGGTCTCTACTTGTTTCGCTCGTTCGCTCACTTTCTACGGCCATTTTTTTGGGAGGTTACAACTAACTTTCAGTGTGTGCCTTGGATCATGCTCTCAAATTACGTTGTCGGGTACACGACTGTTTCTTCACTTGTATTTATACTTTAGCACTGTGTGTTACTTGAACGCAATAGTGTTAAAGAGCTCGTTTCGCAAAAATTTTGGTGTCGGTGTCTGCCTCTTTGGTTGGAAGCCAAAAAATGTCACCTTTTGCATAACCAAAAAATGGAGAAAGCTGCCAATAAAATTAACACTAAAAACTTCAGTATGAGTGAGATTTGAAACCCAGGCTGTCTGTGTGGAAATCAAGATGTTCTACCACAGAGGCACACCTATGGTCGAATCTGATCAGAAAAAAAAAAACAAATAAATAAATGTCATGTAGCTGAAATTCTCATAAATATTGTGTCTAACAAAGAAAACGAGCCCTTATGTTTACGCTTCTTTTCTTTATGTAGTAGAAGGAATTTCTTTAATGCAGGCCATGTTACGTGGTAAAAATGTAGACGTTCGCCAGGCCTCAAAACATGTTTTATGGAAGCAAGGTGACAACCTGAAATATAGTAACTATGTTCATGGTGGCCGCATTTTCTGTATTTTAGTAACATTGTGCATGTACATTATGTTCGAAGAATTGACCGCGATAAGTGCAGCATAAAAACTTATGTCACCACTTATGTCACCGATCTAGCAGTGCCAAAGTTCAGTGCAAGCATATCTGAAAAAGCAGTTGGCTACTTAAATCAAGTTATATGTGTCACTGTAATAGCGTCCTCAGCAAAAACCTTTTATTAAGGATAAAAACATGTAATAGTTCTAGATGTTATCTATATTATCCTTTACTTCGAATAGTTCAAGATAGCTTCTTTGAATGTTAAGATAACTAAGGGCAGACTTTGTGGTGGGCTTCATGAACAAGTGGTAACATCTTTTTTCTCAGCAATGGAGATCACCTGCAAGATCAGTGAGAGGACATTGTAGTGATTTCTGCACATCTTGTATGAGTGTTGTGCATTGTTGACTAATCAGAAGTGCTTTTGCTGTAGTGCTGGTTTAATGGGTACAATGTTCAAAAAGTCACTGTCATAGCTGCTTTCATTTATACAAGAACCTCTTGTATTTCCCCCATTTTCCAGTAACCACAAATGCAGAAACTCTACCCCTTTAAGCTCTATGGATGAACAAAACTCATCATTGTGAAGGTGGTTAATCTTGCTTTGAACAAGCTTAGCTCACTTTTAGCAATATTTTTGCTGTTAAAAGGCCAGTAAACAACACCGAGGTCTAAAAATTGTTATGAAAAGAAATATGTGCACTTTTGCTATGTGAACATGCTGCAGAAAAAATTTTGCAAATGTGGGCCATAATAAGGTAGTTACGTGGTTTAAAACATTCGTTTCAGCAGGTTTCAAATTTTTGCGCACCCTTGCCACCCTTCTTTGCCATAGGGAGATGAAGGGCGTAGCAAGTCATCAAGACTCCACCCACTTTGGCAACGTGACACGACGTCAGTGACATATTGGCGCACAGCCAACGACCGAGCAGAGCATCCCCCACATGACCACGTGTCATAGTGGTTCGGGGAGAAAACGCAGTTCGAGGAGCACCCTTTTCCTAGTGGTAAAGTAGCAAGATGGTAGTCACGGGCTCAACAAAACAGCCGAAGCTGCATTACTGTTGGGCCAAGGTGCCATTTCATAGGGCAAAGGACCGATAAATGAGCTCAGTGATACGTAAAGTTACCCATAAGCAAGCTTTTGTCACTGTGCGCGTACGAAAATGATTTGTCAGGTGTGGGAAACATGCCCAGGATTGTTTTTCGAAATAGAGAGTCCGCGTGGCACACAACTCTGTAACATTCGGGGAATGCGATCCTCGCAGTCTACTGTATAGCTGGCGAGCTTGTTTGCGGAATGTAAAAAAAAAGACTGAGCCTGTTTACTGGCTCTTTAACACTGTTAAAGTAATTTTAACATAATTAGATGTCAGTACTTTGTCATAGCATAAAGAGCCCGTAAACAGGCTCCAACTTTTTTTGTTTACGTCCCCTAAACAAGCTCGCTAATTCGTATGATAAACTACAGAGATCACATTTTTCAAATATTGCAGTGCTGTGCATCGCACAGACATTCCATTTTGAAAATCTATTCCCACACTTCTTTTCTATGCCTGTCAAATTCTCCTCGTATGCACATTGGTGAAGTCTTGCCCATGGACAATAGTACGCACCACTGAGCTTATCGATTGGTCCATTGCACTACGAAACAGCACCTTGATCCTACGGTGCTGCAGTTTTGATCACGCTTTCTGCATTTGCATTTTCAGGAGCTGCCCACTGCCATTTTGTATAGCTTAAGTCTACCGGGACAAACGGTATGGCCAGAACGAAAACCTCTGAAATGAAAAACCCTCTCGCTTCTTTACCACTAGGGATAAGGTGTATTGGGTGCTGTGACAGCAAGTCCCGTTTCCGTCACCACGTTTTTCCTGGGATCCTGTCTAGACTCTGTGTCGTGAAGGCGATCAGGAGTTAGCTGTCCTTGACCCACATCCAAGCTTGGAGTGAAACCTGTAGCTGCTTGACTTTTGGTTGTCTGCACTCAGTTTCTAGTGAGGCGGCGGGTGGATGTGATGCAGATGTTCAGTTAAACGCCGTCCGTCTTCCAGTAGCACGTCAATGGACGAAGTGAGTCGTTTGGTGACGACTGCAGGTAGCCACACAAGACCTGAACGGAAGTTCCTTGCGAACACCTGATCACCGGGGTGACCCCAAAACTTTGGGTCTTGTTCCTTGGTCATATCTGATTTTCTGCTTAAGCTGCTTCTCTAGTGCCTTAGTCCTGAGGTCTGGGTGTAGCAGGTCCAACGAAGTCCTCAGCTTCCGCCCCAACAACAGCTCCAACGAACAGCCACCCGTCACCTCTTGAGGCGTTGACCTGCAAGTCAAGAGCTTGCGGGCAATTTGAGTGCGAATATCTCAAGGGCCAGCCTTAAACAACTTGTTTTTGATAGCCTGCACTGCCCGCTCTGCAGCACCATTTGGCGCTGGACGGTATGGCAGCAATAGCATTCATCTCACCCCGTTTTTCTTGAGGAAGGAGTAGAGCTCACTGGTAAATGCTAGCCCATTATCCGACACGACCACATCTGGTTTGCGAACATAATTTGCATGCAGGAAATAGTTGCTTAAGCTGAGGGTATAAAGACCGGGAATACTTCAGTCCACTTTGGGAATGTGGCTGGGATAAAAAAAAGTGTTCCTGTAAGGACCGGCATGGTCCAGATGCAGCCGTGACCATGGTTTCTCCCGAAACAGCTAGGGCATGACAGGCACTGGTTGTGACACTTTTTGATGCTCCTGGCAACTACGCCATCTTTGAATAGTTATCGCTATATCGTTATCCAAGCCAGGCCGCCACACATGGCTATGCGCAATTGCCTTTTTGGACAGTCTTGGATGACTCTCGTGCAGCAACCGGAGGACTTCCCCTTGTAAGGGTTTTGGAACAATGACTCTGTTGTCCCCCAATAGACAGTTTCCTTGCACACTCATCTCATGAAAACACATCTCGTAGGGTCTTCCCTCTGACCCTAGGTTTATCTGGCAGCCTGATTACAATGCTGCTCTTACTTGCGACAGCACCGGGTCTCTGGAGGTGGCTGCCGTAACAGCATTTGACGACAGCACTACTGGGTGTAAACCTTCCAGCATTAGCACTTGGCAGGGCAATCAACAACAATTTCGTCATTTGGCAGAGATAGCCGGCTTAACCCATCGGCATGTGCAATTTGTGAACCCGGCCTATACTTCAAGTTGTAACTGTACCCTGACAACAACAAGGCCCACCTTTGGCCCCATAAATATTGCCTGAACTTTGTAAGGTCAAATACAAAACTCAATGCCTCCTTATCTAATTGGCTGTAGTTTTTCTCTGTGGTTGTCAGGCTGCGGGAAGCAAAACCAATGGGGCGGTCTTCTCCAGATGACTCTCTTTGTGCCAGTACTGCTCCAATACTGAAAGGAGATGCATCAGTGACAAGCACAGTTGGCTTTCCTGGGTCAAAGTGTGTCAATATCGCAGTAGAAGCCAGAAGCTTCTTGCTTCTTCGAAATGCCTGCTCTTCCTCAGTTTCCAAGCCCCATGGTGATTCTGACGCCAACAAACTATTGAGGGGCTGTAATATTGCACAAGGTTTGGCAAAAACATTCTGTAGAATTTAACCAACCTGAGGTAACTCTGAAGTTCCTTGACCGCTTGAGGTGCGGGGGTTTCCAGCACTGCTTCAGTCCTAGCCGGGTTCGAATGCAGCCCGGCCGCTCTAATGATAGGGTTCAAGCACTGGACTTCTGGTTTTCAGTCGCTGTCCCGTGGTTTTCAGGCAATCCAACACTCGACCCAAACTCTCCCAACGCTCTTTGTCACTGGTTCCCGTGACCAGAATATCGTCAAAGTACACTACGACATGGTCAAGATCATGCAAAAGATTTTCTATCTCTTGCTGAAGTATAGCCGAAGCTGATGAAACCCCGAATAGCAGCCTTATGAATCGGTATAAGCTCCTCGGAATATTAATAGTGACTAACTCTTGGCACTCCTCATAAAGTGGAATTTGCTAGTAGGCGTCTTCCAAGTCGAGCTTGGTTAACTTTTTGCCCCCTGTTAGCCGCGCAAAAAGTTCCTCAATCCTAGGAATAGGGTAGGACTCGATGACTGTCATCGGGTTTATGGTAGTTTTAAAATCGACGCAGACCTGAACCTGGCTGTCACGCTTAAATACAGGAATGATGGGCGTGGCCCACTGAGAAGTTTTCACTGGTTTGATAACACCTTCTCATTCCATCTTCTGTAGTTCTTCAAAAACTCGATTATGCAAAGCCAATGGTATCGAACGTGCCTTGACGAAACGTGGCTTCGCGCCCTTTTGTACAGATATAGAAGCGGCAATGCCGTGAAACATGCCAAGCTGCTCTCAAAAAACTTCGTGATAATGGCTTACCAGGTCTTCTGTAGTCTTCACGACGCAGACTCCCTCTATCAGAGCGATGCCTAGCTTGAAGGCCTTCATCCAGCTTCGTCCGAACAGTGCGGGACACGCCCCTTTCTTGACAAATAGTGGTAGCTGGCGCTCCTTGTCACCAAGTTTGACCAATGCTTCCAGCTTTCCCTGGACGCATTTCATGTCGCCGGAAAAAACTTCTCAGCTGCATACTCTATAACTCCGATGGAAAAAACTCGGCAGAGTTCTCATCATCAATGGTCAACACACTCAGCGCCGGTGTCCAACTCCATGTCGAGGGTTCTGCCATTAACTTCAACCGCTATGCGCATTGGCTTTAAACTAGTTGTGTGAAGCGTCCACAAGTCGAAAACTTCGGGCTCTTCAGCAAAGACAGGCAGGTCGTCCAGGTTGTTCAAGCGACTAGATCGGCTGCGACTAGACTGGCTCCGCTCTAAATTTCTGCTCCCTGGCTGAACTCTGTAAAACTCTTGCAAGGTGCCTTTTTTGCGGCAGTTATGACAGATCGTGCTGCCGTGCCTACAGCAACCCCTGCAACGAAGGCACAGCTATCATTTTTCCCTGAGGTGACGATGTTCGCTTTCTCCGGAACTTCGACTGATAGTTGCGGTGTTTGCTGACAGCTCAATGCACGTGAATCTTTATGCTCAGTCTCCATAGCTACGATGGTGTCCTTCGCAGTTTTGAAGGTTAAACACGTCGTTTCAAACGGCCGTATTTGCACAGTTACGTCATTGATTCCGCTGACTATCTGGCCGTGTAACAAGCGCTCTTGAAATGTTGTGAAATCACAGTCTTCGGCTAATTTCTTCAACAAGGCAATGTAGCCACTTACGGTTTCCCCTCTTTTTGATGCCTTGAGAAAAAAATTGAAAATTCGCACTACTTCTGATATGCAAGGGGCGTAGTGCTTGCTAAGTGTGGTAAAAATTTCGGCCAGTCCGGCTTGGGAGGGCCTGCTTGGTACTAGGAGGATCGTAACAGAGAATAAGTCTCTGGATCGCAGCATGTCAAAAATACAGCTGCCTGCTTGTCGCTTGGGATGTTGTTCACGATAATGTACAGCTCGGCCCGCTCACGGTATTCCGCCCACTCCGATGTACTCAGGTCGAACGAATTCAGCTTCCCGATGCCGAACATCACAACGTGTGATTGTGCTGTTCTTGTCTGGTTCATCAGTCAACCTCATCGCCACTTGGGATAAGCGGGTCATGACGGTCACCGGACTGAATCACACTCACGTACGTTGGAGGGTTCCACACACTGACCGGCTGGGTAATGTGCGCCGTATTTATTTCATTGCAAACATCGACGCCCCCAGGCGCCGAAACGGCAAACTGATCTTATTACAGGTACCCCTTTGGAAATCGGTTAAGTAATTTATTCTTGAAAGTATATTGCTTTTCACATTAGGTGCTGACATCATTTAGATCTGGGACACTGCTGCCCAGCAGATGGGTTTTTTGTAAGGCACTGTAAACAGAATTTTCCCCAGGTCAATTGTTAGTGTTGATCTTTTGAGCAGATGGGTTTTTTTGTAAGGCACTGTAAACAGAATTTTACCCAGGTCAATTGTTTGTGTTATATTTTGGGCCAACTAAATTTGTCACCGTATTAGTAGCACTGCAAAGCAAGCAAATACAACCAGGCCTTTTATGAGGTGATAAGTATGTACCGAGAACATTCAGGTTGTGTGTTATTTAGTCATATACTTGGGCATATGGATAGCCTGACATTTCTCTGTATGTATGATACGTCTATCCTACATTATTGCCACCTAGTTATGGCAGTATGGAAAACCTGGTCCTTCAGTGGGGCGTTCCCAAATATTCATGTATTCCTTTCAGAAGCTGCGTGTATGTAGGGAATGCATCGTGTAGTACCTTCTCAAGTTGTCAAACCTTCTTAGATGACATATTTAAAGTGTGCATGACAAATTACATGCAAAGATTTTTTTTATGCTGAATTTAATGTGCACAAATACCAACGGATTAGTATCTTGCAAGCTGAGCTGTTGTGATAGATCAGTGGTTCTCAAATGGGGGTCCACGAAGCCATTTTTATGATCCGCGAAACCCTCACCCGCATTTTTCTTTAAGCGTGACTGTGCCACGTATTGATGAACTGTCGAAAATGAAGTTATGTGGCATGTTTATTTGATGTTTTTGGTAGCTAAAGGCACCAGTTTCACGCTCCAGTTATGTTATTTACCTATGTACCGCCCTCCTTCCCCTCCACTGCAAGGGGTCCCCCATCACTTCCACCAGTCCACAACGAGTACCCGACACATCCATGGCTGAGAACCACTGTGATAGATATTGTGAAGCATGCCAGTAGTGTTTTTATAGCATTTTACAAGTACAAAAGAAAAAAAGTCCAATAAAATAGAATCGCATAAGGTATTTTAGTACCCTTGTGTAAGTTGCAAAGCAAGGTGCATCCAGTGCACTAGCTTGACCTCTGGCATAGAATGGCTACTGCTTGACCACTTCAAACAACCAATCAACGCATTGAGGTCTGAAAGGCTGCCACTGTGCATACTTCCATGCTGTACTGAATGTGTTCATTGTAGTGATGTGCAACGTGTCATTAAACCAATCTGCTGTCTTTCGACACCCTTTCTTGGATAACTGTGAGGTTAAAAGTGACAGGCAAGGTATCTTAATTGCAGTAGATAACCATGACAGATAATTGGACAATATTGTGACCAATATTGGAGCCAAAGGCTATTCCAGTTTTGACAGCAAAGTGCCGAATTGTTGCCAAAGAGACAATCCAATCTTTCTATGTCTGTATTCTTACACACTTTAAAACATCATTACCATTGGTCAGACTTACTAGGTGGATTTACTCGGCATTGCTTATGGCAAAATTTAAAATGGAAATCTTATTTACGATTTGGTGCCGATGCTGATTCAGAGATTGGCAGTCATAAGATGATTGCATCAACGAATTTAAAGGTCATGCAAATAAAAAGTCTCAGCATTGATTGGTGGGCATTGTTCTGTATATGCTTCACACACAGCTTTGAATGCAGTAGGACTAGTGTAAAATTGGGTAAGGTCTCAAGGTCCTGCTAGTGGCAACAGTGATTGATAAGATTTTATGTAAGAACAAATAAATTTGAAAACCTTTTACAGGGAATATTCATGACCTTGTGGTGATTGGCTGGCTATTGCTGAAATTGTATGACAGCTTGTTTGTTTTTCTAAGCTCTCTCAGTTCAGAGCCTCCAAAATTGCGTGTCAGTAGGTTTTTCTCCGGCCGTCCCAATCGCACAAAGTATAATTTCAGAGGATGGCGTGGCCCGCTCCTACTCTGCACCACGGTGCTTGCCATCATAAAGCGAGGAAAAAATGATTTCGCATTTTTATATAACTTCCACTGACGTGGAAATGTCAGCATGCTCTTTGCGAGAGGCAAAGTGCATGCTGGGGCCTATTTATTCTCAAGTGAATGGTCTCTTTCTTTATCCTTTTTTTCAAGATATGCACTTCCTTGCAAGAGGGCTCTGCACTCTTACAGAGCACTTGCCTCTGCAAGAGTGCAAGAGATCCGCATTTCCTAGAAACACTATAGTATTTCAGAGTTTGTGGGGTGCACAGTATGAGGGCGTTAGCGAAGGAAAAAAAAAAAAGAGTACAGTTATTGGGCTGGGCATGATAAAATTCAGGAAAGCTGATCCCAAGCTTCTTTTTCCTATTTGACTTGGAAAGGTATGCAGCAGTATGACAACTTCCTGAAATTAAAGAGAACAAACAGCGTCTCACGTCACTTTCACGAAAAAAAAGATAGTGCATTGTCAGAGTTTTATTTAAATAACTGTAATTAGTTTGAAAGTTAGTTAATAAATAATTGGTATTTAATAAAGGATTCATTTTAATTTTTTGTGGAGGTAGTCACGGCGTCTGCAGCTGGTCGGTTGAATAGGTGTCCATAGTGCAAGGGCCAGTTCAAGCCAAAGAGTGCCAAAAACGTGGTGTGTTCAGTGTACAGTGTCACATGGAGACTAGGATATGTAATCAGCTGTAACGAGGCCTAAAATTAGTCACTGTGTTAATGCGTAAAACATATATGTACGAAAATTATTACATTGACAAGTCAGGAGGGTACTCTTATCCGGTGTATATGCAAGGGATCCTGAGATAAAAATGTACGAATGTGCATATAACAGTTACACATGCCTATATCTTAGAGCGCAAAAACGCAGAGGAACCAAGCGCTATGAGACTTGCTTGTCAAGATTGCATCGCACGCACCATGAATATATGGCACGTGCAATAAACTCCATTAAACTCCAGTAATCTATCAGATGCCATACAATATTAGACTTGCTTGTCAGGATTACATCGCACGCACCATGAATATATGGCACGTGCAATAAACCCCATTAAACTCCAGTAATCTGTCGGATTCTATACAATATGAAAGAAAGCAACAACTATATCATGTGTAACCTAACTAAACTTCAATATAAGTTCTGATAGTCCTGGTCACATGAACATTTGAAAAGACCAGTGATATATAAACGGAACTTTTCGAAGCTCTACAGTGTATTCACAGATGCAACACCAGTAATAATAGCGATACAACAGCGCAAAAACGGTTTTGCGTGTGTGCAGCGGCGAGGCTGAAGTTTTTCTTCTTTTCACAGAATTCCTGCAGAACAACCATGCAAGGTAATCGCGCGAGCACTGTAGCATAAGTGCGTTACAAGGAATTGAGATATAGTGCACGCTGGAGCGCTAACAGAGCCGACTAAGTTCGGCACTCGGCATGAGCACACTTTCTTCTCATGATGTCAGCGATGCTGCCGAGTCTGGTGTGAAAGCTGTGTGCGCTTAGTGCACAAGGCTTCGCACTTGCCCACGAGGCTTCCCCAGTTTTTCTTTCTTACAGCCTTCCGTCGCACCACAGAAGCAAAAGACAGGGAGTAGGGTGGAGACGGTCGCCGTGCGTCTAAACTGAATGTCGCTGGTAGTGCGACGGCCCTGGACAGTTTACATGGGCGTTTAAATATTCATTTATGGTTGCCCATTTGTTTTGGGGGTTTTACAGTGTTTAGTTAGACATTGTAACGAACATGGAAATCCTAAGCATTTTTTGAAAGAATGCAGCATGTATTCAAAGTTTGGTGTACCTAATATAAAACACTTGTGTGTTGCATACAAGTAGTCACAATGAGCGCTTTTTTTTCAGTTGTTTCTCTGGGTGGATATATGTCTTTTTTCTTCAGAAGGATGTCATTCTGTTGCATGTGTGACCCTTTGAATGCAGTTGAGAGTACAGTAAACAGAGATGATATTGATATTGCCATTGTGCCACCAAAACATAAGCAAAGTTGAGACAACTCAGCCACTTTCTTTGTGAATGTGTGGAGTAAACATTGGTTCACTGATCAAAGCCTGCAACAATATTCCAGCAAAATGACTTCACCCTACTTCAGTGACATGACCAGGGCAGTCAGTGATGTTGAGCGTTTCTCTCTAGAGTGCAACCATGCTTGTGTTGATCACCTTATAAATATCTGTAAGATGGTGGTGACAACCTTATTAAAAAAAAACTGCTCCAAATTTATGACCTGATCCTAGGCTGCCCCCCCCCCCCCCCCCCCTGTGGCCTGTCTTCTTGCCGCCTCCTGGGCTTGCTTGGTGGCCCACAGTTGATCATGAAGGTTAAAGCTGCGCAACACGGCTGTCCATGACATCACAGCTTCATCTGGGGAGACTGCATTTTCTTCTCATAGAATCCCACATTTCCAGAGAATGTTCTTAAGTGATGTGCAAGTCTAGCCGCATAATTTACAAGTATCATCTGGATATACGTCGGGGTATATCCTCCTAAGATGAATGGGGTTGGGGAAGGGCTGGGTTCGTAATTGCCTACAATCTACCACTTTGGATCTGTCAAGTTTGCAGCTTGACCAGTTTCTACCCATACACGTCTTGAGAAAGGAAGGATGCCAAAACATCTCTATATTTCTCACATCATGATATTTCGCTCCAAGATGAAAGGTACTGCAGGGTCATTCCATGCCAAACGTCCCAGTCATATTGGTGACCATCTTAAATGTATTTAAAAAGAAAATCATGATGATTTAATGCATTGAATACAGTGAATTGCTAGGATATTTCAACAGTGAATTGGTAGGATATCTCAGACAGAAAAAATTTTTGGTCGTGTGTGTGCCTTATGAAGCTCCCAGAATATCGTCTGGATGTTTAGGAAAAAATTTATTCTAGAACTACCGCTCTTCTTTTATATATCAAATTTGGTCCACATGTTAAGTAAAGATGCTTGTATAAGGTGTTTGAAGCTCAGTAAAATTAGAGCAATTTTTCTGCCATGTATGCCTCCAAGAATTTAACCAAGATGTGTCATGCCTGGACTTTTTTCTATTGCAATTTGTATCAGTATCTGAGCAATGAATACTTGCTCCACAAAAGGTGTATTTTGTGGAAAAAATATTTTGAGACCCTTCAAGCTGTTACACCTTACGAGAAAAAAAAATCACGAATTTGGCAAAACCATCACTTTTATCTATATTCATATGCAATTTGCAACATCTGGTGGGCCAACTAAAAACCACCTTTGTACCTAAATCGATAGCAAATAAACAGTTCTTCTTACATGGCAGGTTTTATCATTACAATTTTTGTTTTAAGAAAATCATTTTTGAAGTTCTTTATTGCAGTCAATGGGAAACTTTAAAAAAATATTTTCTTTCTTAAAACAAAAATCGTAATGATAAAACTGACAACACAAAAAGAACTGTTTATTTGTGTGTGATTTAGGTATAAAAGGGATTTTTAAATGAACCACCACATGGTGTAAATTGTGTCTGAATATGGACAAAAATGAAGATTTTATGAAATTTGTGATTTTTTCTCGTAAAGTTTGACAGCTTGAGAGGTCGAAAAATATTTTTTCCACGAAATATACTATCTGTGGAGTAAGTATTCATTGCTCAGATATTTATACAAAGTGCAGTATTGCAATACGAAAATGCAAGTATAACTCATTTTGGGGAAATTCTTGCAAGCGTATGTGGCAGAAATACTGCACAAATATTATTGAGCTTCAAACACCTTACACAAGCACTTTTACTTAATATGTTGATCAAATTTTGTATATAAAGAGGCAGTGGTTGTTTTAAAATAAATTTTTTCCTAAACAACGCCCAGATGACATTCTTGAAAGTTCAGAAGGCACGCACGGGATCAAAAAATTTTTTCCGTCCGAAATATTCTAGCAGTTCACTGTTTTGAGTGTAGTAAACCAGCACGTTTTTTTTTTCTAATACATTTGAGATGGTCGCCAAAATGGCTGGGACGGTTAGTGTGGAATGACCCTGCAATGAAAAAAAAAAAGCAATAGTATCATCAGAATCGAATTGAGCAGTTGTGGTGCTTTCTTCTAAATGCACTAACAAAAGAAATAAATGCTTGCCTTCAGTGCATTCAGGAGATACGGGGGCTTGTTCTTTCTTGCACACGAAAAAATACCCACATGCACGCTGGTAGTCAATCGCTCTGCATTTTGCCGCGCTCTCCGCTGCCGCTGAAATCCACACTTAACGCGCCCTCACACAGTACCTGGGCACATGAGGCGTCATTTATTATTTTGCTGGGGAATGCATCAATTGGGAGGGCCGGAGAGAAACCTGCCAGCACGCAATCTCGGAAGCCATGCTCAAGTGTGTGAGGACAGCATACCATGCCGCAGAGGGTGCTCATATATGCACACATTATGACATACATTTTGCACTTTCAACTAGGCTTTTTTGTTCCATTACATAAGTAATTTCCTCGGGAAACAGCCTTTCTTGGTAATCATTATAGTGTAGCATGAAGACGCAAATACCAAGACACAGAGACATGCATGTTTTATGGCTCCTTTCTTTGTTTGCCTGCTACTAATTTTTATGCTGAAAGTATGCTTACCTTACATGTCCTTGTGTGATGGTGCAGCCCATCCGGAGCACAAGAGCCTGCTACCGTACCAACCACCGTTGTTGGTGTGCACAGCACATATTCACTGGGACCCTGAGTACTGTGATGTTAAGCTGATTCAGACAATGATGTTGATGCGGGAGCTGCGCATCATTGTGGATGACGCTGTACAGTTGCTTAGGGCTGGATCTCTGGGAGGGCTGCACCGTCGAGCTGTACTGGACACTTCCAGCATTCCACTCCTACTTTGTGGGGACATGAACTCCCTCCCCAACTCAGGTGAGTCATCCTGTAAAGATGAATTTGGTTTGTTGCTAACACTGTTTTTTATTACAATAACAATGTGTATTTGATTACTGGTGTTCCTATTAAAGCAAACAGGAGATAATAAATATTGGGGCGGTGTGCATTCAATTTTAGTGCCATAAGCTGTTCAGCCCCATTTAATTAATATAGAAGCCTAGCCTTCTCTTCCACTTTCTACACAATAGTTCTTGGCATGCTAGTGGACAGATTACATTTATAAATATTAGAGCTTTGCAAATAGCCAAAATTTGGGTGCGAAGTAAATCCGAATATTAAGTGTGAGTTCGCATTAAATATTTTTTAAATATTTTTAGAAATTTTTTTTTGAACACTTCTAAGCAGAATGCAGGAATGCTGGTAGTGTTGCTCATTCATGGAGGCTTCTTACAGAGTTTCAATGAGTGCTATTTTGCAATTTTCAAGGGGGGTCATCGCAAACAGTGCTACCTTATCACAATGAGACTATCCTGCACATGATACACTAGTTCATATATTTCAACCTCAATACTTGGGCCACACAGTTCACATGTTCTGATGCCCTGCAGAATATTATGCAACTTCTCATGCCGATAAGACATCAGAAGAGTCTATTTCGAGAACAGCCTGCAAGTATTGGCTTGCTGGAAGGTAAAATAACTTACTCCCATGCAAAAGGCCTGGAGTTAATCTATGAGAACTGGAATGTTTCATTTAAATATTATGATTATTGTGGGTGATACCTGCAATGTACAGTAGAATCTCAGTGATGCAAAACTAGTTTATGCGAACTTCAGGCTGATATGAATACGTTGGATTCCCCGGTGAAAGTACCGAACATTTGGAAACTTTTCTTGGTCACGATGGATTATATGAACTTGGGTACCGAAACCATTGAGCGGCATCCCACAGCTGCAAGTTCCAGATGCTCCAGAAGTATGCGCATAGTCAATGCATACAGAGTCAAAACTGTGCTTATCGTGGCCCACAACCGCTGTAGATGTACAAACGGTCGCTTTCAGTGCTATCACGTATGGCTATGATGAAAATACTAAAGTATGCACGCATCCAAAACTAACCAGGTTAAAGCGATGGTGCATGCCACAACCACTGCGGACAAAACTGCAGTAGAAATAATCATAGACAGCAACGAGGCAGTTCTGATAGCATGTGTGCAGCCAGCACCCACTAATTGAGAATGAAATGACTTTGCTGCAACCACTGCCTATGAAACCATGGCCGCTATCAATGCAATCTTCAATAGTGATAGTGCAGCTCTAAAGGTACTGAAGCAGCGGTAGATAAGAGGCAAGTCAAAAAAAGGCGCAGAGCATATGGGCATTCCTGTTGATCCCTTGTTACTGTGGGGGTAGCAGGCTTAATTTGCAGTTGGCCTCAAGTGGAGCTTGATGCTCGCATTCACAGAAGCCAGCTGCACCTTGCCTTAGTGGTCCATTCCTATGTGTCGCAAATGCGAGTTCTTTCTGTGGGAATAAATGTTTTGTGCGTATAGTGACGCTTGAAATGGATTTCACTAGCTTTTTGGTGATAGGAAATTTTTCGTGATAGAAATACTTTTACTTCCCATTGAGATTCATGTCACCGAAATTCTACTGTACTCTCATGGACATCACCACCAAAAATGTCTATGTTAGTGAGCCCCCATCAGCTTAAGTGTAGAAGATTGCTACAGCCTGTCAAGTCACTTTGAACCTTATATTTGGCATCATCATGATCACTTTTTATAGTATGACTAGTCATGGCAGTTCATACTGAAATCATATTTTGGAGCAGCACCTGTTCCACAGAGATGTGTAAGTAGAATTTGATTGAAGCTGCATAAGGTATCTTCTCTATGATAGGGTAAAGCTTTGTAATCCAGAGACATGGAATCTAGTGCATGCTTTCTTGTGCATATCCAGTTTTGCATCTGTTTAAACAAGACTGTATTTCACATAGAGCTATTGATATTATGCTTATTATTTGGACAAGTTGCCCTGGTAGCTTAGCTGGTAACATGTCATACTACTACTTAGCTTGGGCATGTGTGTTTGATTTGCAATCATGGCAGCCACATTTTGATTGGGTGAAATGCTAGAACACCCATGTACTTAGATATAAATTAGCTCAGAGTTGCCCACTGTGGTGTTCCTTATAATCATATGGTTTTTGTTAATACAAATCTAAGAATTTAATTATGTAAGCCACATGTTTTTTATATGACTACTGGACAGTGCATTTGTGTGTATTTTGTCATTACTATTACAAAACTTGAGTGATTGTATGTGTAGATTGTTTTTATGTCTGGCAATAAGATAGTAAAAGCATGTCTGAGGTGTGTCCTCTATGGTTGCTCCTTGAATGCCTGTAGCTTCATTTGCTAGGTTCACTAAAAAATTTTATGTTTTGATGTGATGTTTGATCTTGGCTAGTCATGCTGCTGCAGTGCAATGAAGTTGTGGCAGTTGCAGGTGTGACAGTTTCAGGTGATTACACCTGTAAAGTAGAATGCTGTACTGTAAATATTTGTGCTTGTACTGCTTCATGTTAACACTTTACCATCAGTTTGGAACGTGGAATGTCGCTCATTTTCTCACTTAAAGATGGGCTGTTTGTTTCCAGGTGTTATTGAGTTCCTGAAAACAGGCCATGTCTCGGCCGACCATCCTGACTTTAAAGAACTTGGCTACAAAGATTGCCTGCGTAAGATGTGCCTGGAATCTGGTTCCCTCATAGGTGGCTCATACACTCATCCCTTCGAGATGAAGGAAGCTTATGCAGAAGGAGTCATGCCCTATACAAATTTTACGTGAGTATTCACTTTAAAATGTAATGTTTGACTGTATTAGTTGTCAGTTGAAAATCTGCCAGAATTCATGAGTGCACAGCATTTGGTACAGCTTAAGATCATTTCTTACTAGCAGATAGACCATGTTGAAGGTCATTTCGTACTAGCAGATAGACCACGTTGGAAGCTTGTGAACTGCTTCATGGAGTTTGCGAGTTGGCTTGGCACTTTCCTTCAATTATTAGTTATGCAGAATGCTGTTAAAACATACACACTACTCTTTGAAGTAATTCATGGCAGCCCTATTTCAGTGAGGCCAAAGAGCAAAATTAACCATGTGTTTACATTAAGGTTAACAGAGACGGAAGGGCTGGGCCATTTGCACCATGCTGCACTAATCCGCTTCTGCTGTGCTACCCAGCTCCAAAACGCCTTACTGCACCAAAATTTCTCCCAAGCAGCCTATGGTACCTTCATATGCCACTATCATCCGCAGCATGGCACATTTTTGCGAGCTCCTATTATCTCATCACCTGGTGCACTTTTCATAACGTTAATGATGGCATGAAAAAAATTCATTCCTACCACAGGGAAGAAGCAATAAATGTGATAGCAAGAAATGGGAATTTTATGCGAAGTAAGGCTAGCAGTTGACTCCCTTCTATCTCATCTCGCGTAACTACAAAACGCTGGAGTAAGGAAATACGGCTGCTGCAAGGAGCGAAGCTGTGTTCTTGCTGTCTCTCATCTCAGTCTGAAGGAAGCGGGCTGCCTGCTAATGTCTTCCAAGATAGCGTTTGCGTGAGCGCTAGCAATCGAGGAGCTTCCTCTCTGGTTGAGTTGAGCCTTTTTGCACAAATTCAACGGGGATATATTTCATTGCCTGTTCAGCATGTTGCACCTATGTAAACAGCAGTAATGCTTGAGGAAGGGTAATTACAATTATGCTCTGGGATTATGCAGCACATATATATGTTGGCATATCACAATGAAGAGCGAGAAAAAAATTAAGACAGTTTTCGCGTGGGACTTTTTTTCTCCACAGGTAAAACACTTGTCAAAAGCTTGTTCTGGTGTGTTTTGAATGAAGGAAGATGTGTCACACGTTAACACTATCACATAGTACTACTGTGATGCCCAAAAAACGCAAATTACTAGTGTATCCATCTTTGCTTGGCTTTATGTGTACTAACTGTAGCATCAGAAGTGGCGACACCACCTTTTTCTGCTTGTGCAATTGAATCACATTGTTTAAGGTAGACCAAATAATGCTGAACACTGACATTGATTTTTTTAGGGGGGGGGGGGGGGGGTGGGGGGGGGGGGGGGGGGGGGGGGGGGGGGGAATGCTTCATGTAGTGTTGTTGTAAACTGTGCTGTATGTGCCAAAACATATGTGTCCTTCATGTTTGGCACAATGTGACCCAATTTAATTCTGGTGTCCAGTGTACTAGACATAAGAACATTCTCACATTTTGAGCAAACTGCTGGTTACAAAAGCTACCTTTTTGCATCATTGTTTTAAGAGGACATCAGTTAGCTCACATAATTTCAAATATTTGAAGTGCACGAAGAAAGCTCCTAAGAAGATTTTGTATACACAACCACACCGTGCGCCCGCTTTTCCTAGTGAATGGCACCCATATTCTAAGGCGTCCCCATAAGAAAGTGTGGCTGAGGGAGGAAACATATTCAAAATTACACTTCTCGCCTCTTAAAGAAGCTGCAAAAATGGTTTTGGTTTTTATTGTGGCTCGGCTTGCTTTTCTGCACTGCCCTTTATGGCATGTCCAGTAAACTGGTCGCTGGGACAGAAAGCGATATAAGGCCAGTCATGCAGCTACCACGTGCCTACAGAACTGCAGTGTCATTGGAAGTTATGTTTAAAAAATTTTTTACTATTACCAAAATGAGATTCAGTTGGCTTAGTGCATGTACTTTGACATTTTCAGTACTTTGTGAACCCATCACCATTGTATAGGCCAAAAGATTTGACAGTCAGGTGACGTGGCCAGATATATATATATCAGCTTTAGGTTTACATCACTCTTTTTTATTGTTACTGAGTGCACCTCTTTGGCATGAACATTATGCCATGATACTGCAAGATAAGTGTAAAAATAAAAAGTTTAGTCTTCTGAAGTTGAAAGCAACATAGGCAATCTAAGCAAACCTTTTAGAGGTTAGGTGCAGGCACAGTCACATCACCACAAAAGGAATTATACTCCGTGACAATGCTTTGTCTGTTTTGCACAGTTATGACTGATAGTTCTAGATAAATTTTATCTTGATTCATCAAACCCTTGTTATTTAACTGAGCTGTTACTTTAGCTGCATAAGTATGTGCATATTTCACATACCAAGCTCTGTTTATTATGAAGCAATAGGATTCATGCAACGGTGTGTGATCTACAGACAAGCCATAATTTTGAAGTTGCTTTAAACTTCAGAAAACAGTGTTTTAGTATCAACACCTTGTTCGTGTATCAACACCTTGTTCGTGGTTACACATGGTGTAACATTTGCCGATGAGTGTTTTATGTGAACCAACACCCACTCCATTTGTTCACCAGACATCATGTGATTCCTTGCTGTTTGCAAGCTGAGAGGTTGGACATGCTGCAAAGTCCGCGTAAAGAGAGCAAAAAGGCACTCACACTTTTTGTTTGTAATTTCTCTTGTGCATCTAAATGGATTTGGTTATGTTGATTGAACCACCTCTGACATTTCCATGCCTTAAAAGGTCCCTAAACCGCCCAGAGGTCAAAATTTAGTTGCGGTGGGGAAGTTGTACACAAGTCTACAATAAACACAAAGCGGTAGGAATTTGTTGAAACGGTGCAGTAATAGCGGAATTAACATGTTGGGTGACTGTTCCTCTCGCTCTTTCCTTTGCTACCCATCACTTGTCAGCTAGTCTCCTCATCCAAAGTCGCCTTGCCTTCCTCGTCAAGTGCACCTCCCAATCTCACGTGACACATACGTTATTGCCAATGTGCTTTTCCGATTACCGCAACTTTATGAACACCGTGCTTCTCGGCTACCCACTCTTGCCGCGATGGCCCGTGCTCGTACGAATCGTGCTGGTGTCGATTCTGTGTTGGTATGCACAAGTTATTTAGCAGTTTCATTATGGGCGGCAGCTGTAGACTGGCAATCACATACGTGTGAGCAATGGAGTGCAGCCAGCTGCTTGCAGACTAACCAGAAGCCATATGTTCTTGTTCGACCAATCGCAGCAGTGCTACAATTGGTCACAACGAACATTGGACCTTTGTCGTGACTGACAAGTGAGATGCAGACACTCTGTTTGGTATATAAACAAGTCATTCTTCTAAACCCCTTACAAATGTTGTTTGAAAAAACAATCAGAGCAGCTTTAGGGGCCCTTTAACATGTTGTGTGAAGTCGCTTTGAAGGTCATTGACACTGATGTTACATTTTACTTTTCACACGGTTCTTTGCACCTTGAAGACTTGACTGCATAATGTGCATGTAGTAGCAACAAAAGATGCCTAATAGAGTCACTGTCATATATGCAGGTTTGACTTCAAAGGAGTCATCGACTACATCTTTTTCACACGGCAGCACATGCAAGTGCTAGGGGTACTAGGCCCTCTGGATCCCCACTGGCTGCAGGAGAACAAGGTGGTTGGCTGTCCACATCCACATGTACCATCAGACCATCTGCCCCTGCTGGCCCAGCTTGAAATAGCACTTGTGACTAACGGCCTGGTCCAGCGCAGGTAGCAACGGCTGGAGTGAGCCCTCCCCCATCGTCTTCTGTCCCCGACTAGTACTGCGTGTGCACCCCAACTTGCTCGAGTCCAATGGTCAGGACATCATGACTGCTGCTTCTCAGTGACCCAATTTTTCTGTGATCACTGCTGACAAAACAGCCTTTGTAGTGCCGTGTGCCAGTTGGCACCCACCTGCTTTGGTCAATTCTAGTGTACCATCAAAAAAAAGGTCTTGATGCTCCTCCTCTGCTAACTTTGGTCTGGGTCAGCTGGGTCAGGAGCATTAGTGGTAGCAGCAGCAGCAACAACAACGACCATTCAAATCCGGGTCACGGTTGACTGTTTTTCTTCCTTTCAACAACATCTGCTCAAGCAATCTGCAGTTAACAACTCCAAAAGGCTGAAGAAAGGCTGCCATCTAGGTAGTATAAAACAGTTGAATAGGAAGAATTGTACATTCAATACTGTCATCGTACAGTTGACATTTAATTTGTTTCATCGAAAGAACCGGTGTTTTAGTTTTCTTGCATAATTCTTTGAGCATAGCTATGTGGCCTATTGCCTTTCCGCTGGAAAATTACAAATGCAAGCTCTTTCTTTTCCTGTATCCACTTTGGGTAAATAGTCATGTTAGGTCACATACGAGACACAGGAAGGAAGAAGTAGAAATTCGGCTTTCACTGTTGTCATCTTTGCTTCATGTGTATAACAGTAACAAAGAAGAAAAAAAAGTCAACTAAACACAAATGATGGCTAATTTTGAAGTGATTTTTTGTTTTAACTCCACCAAAGCACTTACCATTTTTTTGCTTACTACCTGTATAGCAAAGGTCAGCAAGAGTTCATGCCTTTCGCATTTATGTAGAGCTTGTATCTGAAATAAAACTTAAGGTCACATTTAGGCAGACAGAATAAGCCCACAGTTAATTAGATAGATTTTTGCTCTATCATAGATGGCAGCCTGGGAGTTGCTAACTTTGGAAAATGTGCTACATGAAATTGCTGCCAAACAAGTCTCAGTTTTTGTCTTGCTTTGAGGCAAGACAAACGAGGTCTGTTGATGGAAGTATGTAGTTTCTATAATAAAGTTGACCCATCTTCTCCAATTTCTTCTGCAAAGCAACACACAAGAAAACCTTAAGGACCAAGCAAGACCACCCCTCCTATTAACACCTTTGTGGTGTGTGGCGTGGTGCATCCTTTGACACCGTCCACTTGCCCATTATAGCCATCTGAGCATTGCCCAAGAAGATTGCTTTTGTTTTACATAAACCTTAAACTAGCACTTGAATACACAAAATAAAATAGGAGTTCTGAATTGTCCTTTTTTTTTTCTTAAAAAAAAAAGAGACAATGTTACGATTTTTTTTTTTTTTTGCATCTCTGTGGAATGTGTGAGGCGAGATCTTGGACATGTGATCCAGGCAAGTGTTGATGTGGTGTAGCATTGAAGCCTGTCAATGCCTACTTCATACTTCACATACAGGTGGATGCTGCCCATCTTATGCAGCAAGTTGCATGTATGCTGCAGCTTAGAAAATGCTGCCGAGTCCACATAAAGGGAGGAAGGAACTGTTTCAGCAATGTGGGCTTACCTGCAGTTTGACTTCATATAAATGTCACGGTGCGTTGCCCTTAGCTGCTGACTAGCCTTAGTTTCAATGGAACATTGGCTGTCATGAGTAACAAAACATTGCTGACACAGTTCATTCTCTTTGGTGCTGTATGCTTATCTTCCTGTGTAATGTCTTTTCGGGTTGGAAATGTTATTGGAGGATTGTCTTGTCATGGCTGTGCCCTTGGATACATAGTTTTAGCATGTGTATCTGAAATGGTGGGCTAAGCATAAATACATGTGGTACACACTTAATGACAAATTTTGGTCCAAACTGTGAGTATTTGCGTGATGTACAGTCATTCATTGGCTAGACATATCATATCATTTTTTTCCTGTTCAAACATCACACTTAATGGATGACCCAGGGTTAATTTTGAGACGGGGACTTGCATTAGTACATAGTAGGCTAGAATTGTAAGGTGCTTGTCCAAGGTTAGTTTAAGAAAGAAATTTGCATTTTTTTTTTTTCAATGGCATGCTGTAGTATGATTGCTTTTTCTCTTCTCATTTTTTTTGTAGTAGTTGTTGACCATAGACAAATATATCTTTTTAGTACTTTTGATCAATTTCTATAACGGAGACCCAGATGAGTCATTAGTCAAATCCTGCCCACTTTGTGGCCTGCCACGTATAGATTGTGTTATGCTTTAGTTTTATTCAAAGTTAGGTCAACAACTTTTTGTTTCTGTTCAGTGTTTCACACAGTGCTTAAGTCATTTTCTTTGTCCTGTGTTCTAGTGCTAGCTGCTTGTGTACACTGCATTAATGTATATAGAAGCTAAGAACTGACGTGTCATGAAGAGCTGGCTTTTCTCATTGAACATGACAAAATTTTAATTTTTTTTCTTTCACCGCATTCAGTATTGCAGGTTGTGTGCACAAGATGAAAAATGCATCTGTGTGGAGCTGTTATCTTTGCTATGATTGACTTGATGTGCATGTTCCATTTTTCATGCTATTGCACCATACAACAAGGGTCTAAATTCCAATTTTTCTAACCCTTTTTTTATGGATGTGTAAAGTCTTCTTGTTATGAGTGTTGTAGAGAGTTCTTCAAATTGAAATAAAACATGGTTGAAGTCCTTGCATGCTGTACTTTGTTTCTGTTTCTAAGCATACAGGGTGGCAGCGATGCGTAGATTATTGGGCATGGTTTCTGTATGTTGGGATGCAGTGAAGATGTGTGTCCAAACAAGGTTTATCAAACAAGGCTTTACCAAAATAAACAATTTATTTGTCTGTTAGCCTAGAATGGTATAATATAAAATTGCTCATTTTTGCTATGATTACTTGCAATTCATATCTACCATATTTCTGCTGCATAGTTGTTTCATGGTTTCAAATGTCTAAATCTTTTGTTGTTTAAACCCTGTCAAAAGCACCAGTGTTGGACAATATGTAGAGCTCATATTTTAATTATGTAAACCAATTGCTCACTATTAAGCACTGTTGTTCACAATCATTTTAGAATAAGAATGGTACACTGTCTAATCTGTGCAAGTTGCTGATATCAGTCTGAAAATGGGTTGCTATCACTATTGCACAGCAATTAAGAAAAAAGTATTCCTGCTTAGGCTGATCACAAACATTCACAGCCAAGGAGACCTACCTAAAAATAGCAGAAAGGGATTCATGCACTTTAATGATGGTAAGGAGATACCTATGTCGACAGCAAGGCAAAGTGAACCTTGTAACTAAGGTTGGGTCAGTGCTTGATATTAATTTGTAAAATTGATATAGAAAAATGGCTTCTGAACCGTTTGGTTTGATATTTGTGTTAAAAACACACTTCAACAGTCATAAGCAAAGAAACTTGGAGAGTAGCTAGTACACTAGCTTTCAACTAAATTTTAATTCGGAAAAGTGGCTCATATGCACCTAAAGAAGCATCAGTGACGTTGCCATGTGTGCCCTTGCAGAGCCCACATAATTTATTTCTAGGCTTGTGTGAATAGTGAATTTTATTTTCAAAGCAAATTAGTGGTTTGGTTCAAATAATTTCGAACAAGCATATTTGTCATGGCCCAACTAACCTGTGCAATATATATTTTTCAATTAAACAAGTTCTATGTAAAGGCCATTTTTTCTGGAAGGGAATGGAAACAACTTTGAATAGTAGCAGGAATATACTTTCAATAGAATGCAAGAGATAATCAGTAAAATATGTGACGTTTTAAAATTAACTATACATAAAAAAGTTTTCACGGCTTAGCACCCCTTCACTGCGGTGAAACAACCTTTACATGCAGACTAATATACATTTACTCGTTCATTTCGAATACTTTAAAATTTTCAGTAGTTTAAATTCAAATCAAGGTGAACTTGAATACTGTAATATTCATTCAAATAATCAAAGTGTTGGAATATTCACACGAGCCTGATAATTTCACTTTTCAATGCTACAAGTAAACGCCTGATGTCTCTAGCAGCTGCTGCTTATTCAAGCTGGCTTCCACAGTATCCGATACATCCTTATCTCCATTCCTGCTCAGCACACAGTATTCTATAGTGTAAAACCACTCTTGTGGCAATGCACCAACATTTATGCCCATCATAGCATTGACTCGGTCTTTTTTGCTTTTTTAGCTTATCGTTTAGGCATAATTGCACATAGGAAAACAAACCCAACAGACAATAGAGAACTGGCAGAGTTTTTGAAGTTGATAGGTGTAAGGTGGCTGTCATGAGAAGGTGTAATAAGAAGAGAATTCAACATGCTTCAAATAATGGGCGAAGCCTCAAAGCAATGAAGACAAAGCTGAGCACTGGTAAAAAAAATCACAGCTTCGCCTCAAGGGGGAAACAATGCATGTGATAGCAAAAAAATTATGTTACATGAAGAATGACAAGCAGCCCAAAACTTGCAGCTCAAGCACAAAGGACGCATGAAAAGCATACAGAGTGAGTGCAGGCTAAGAACTATCGCAGCTCAACATATATTGCACTGCTCAAACACAAACCATAGTGCTCGAGAACAACACACAAGTACTGCAGATTGAGTGAGTTGGTGCATGATAATATCATATTGCTATAGTGCAGCTAGGTTTAGCACTCATCCTGTTGTCTGTATTTCCCTTCTTCACTGTTCTATCTTTTGTTCATGTTCAAACTGAGCAGCACTATAGCAATATAATATTAACACATAGGTGTGCACAGGATAAGCATGAACTAAGAACTGTCACAGTTGTTACTTGTTTACGCTTGACCAGTGCACTGCAAAATGTTGACTATGCACAACCCAGCGCTCTGAGATCGTTTGATGCATTGTGCGCCCGGCATTCCACATCACGAGTGTGTATAGAAAAGGGCCACTTTGGCATGCATGTGTCTAGGGCAGTTCTAAAATTAAAACAAAATGTAGGAGCATTGCTTTAAAGCACGCCTTTCACGCCATTTCACCGGTGATAGAGAAGACCTTGAAAATTCTTCGAGGTCTGCGTGCCAATGGTAATGTGGTATGTACAAATAGTTTTCTGTTAGTATGCCAAAGAACAATTGGCACATAGCAAATTTCTCTAACGCTATGCACTGCAGAGTATAGGGTCACAGGTTCGAATCTCAGTGGCACACTGCAGAATTTTTTTCTGATTTATTTTTTAGTGCGATATATATATACATACATACATATATATACACACTATCGGTTTGTAGGGGTGTGGTAATATTAAAATTTTCAAATACGAATCGAATATGAATACATAGTTTCAAATATGGTTCGAATGTCTAATAATGAAGAGGTGCAATTTTTTTACTCAATCATATATTTATGTTGGAAACAGTACAATTGTTGTTACAGTCGGTTATTGCACACAAAATTTTAAAAAATAAGCCACCATTTGTACTTGCCAGAAAGCATAAGACTGTAATAATTGAGCTTGTGGCTGTGATGTCTTGGGTTCAATCCACATGTTGGACAAATCTTTAGTTTTTTTTTTTTCATGTGGTAGCACTTTATTACAAAAAAGAACTTTCGTACCTGTCATGATGACTAGTAAGCATGATGCCACCGGTTTGAGTGTGTAGCAGTTAACACCCGTGCACTTAAGTGTAAGCGATTATTGAAGCAGCCTAGGTGGTCACAATTCATCCAGGTTCCCACACTATCAGTGTTGGCTCGAAATACCCCGATTTTATAGTTTTCTTTATAATTTTCTTCCCTGTTCTCACAGGTCGAGCCACTAAGTGCAATCGAAGTACTTGGGGCATTTTTCAACTATACAGCAATACTCGTTATCTCGCTTGCTTCTGTTGCCTTTCTCGAGGACTGCGGGGTCGCCATTTTTCTATCAAGAATGCTGTTGCGCTGATATACTCGGCGACAGCTTTTCTTGGCATTGGAGCGAAAGCTACAGAGCCAAATCGCAGGCATCCTATCACGAGTGAATGTAGTTCCACAACAGTGCCTGTATTTTCACCGTGAAATATAGAAGTTCCCCCTTTATTTTTTACGTGAAGCTATTTGAGAGAGGATGCAGCTCCTACCATTAAGATAGTCGTATTTTCGTATTTACTTTAATTTATTCTTTGGGACTTCGCGTTTTTGAATGCACGAGAAAGTCCTGCCTTTTTACATGCGCCTCAAATGCTAAACAGCGCCTGGGTCTACACAAAATGCTGATAGTGTGACCCCATCACTTTCTACAGTGTTGAGATGCGCTGAAATTGGCTACTTTGCGTAATGCTAAATGCGCAGAAGCTCCGCCTCCGTAGCTTTCCCTTCAGTGCTAAGAAAAGTTGTCCCCGAGTATAGCTGCATGATCATGACCTAGGTGTACCAGGTGCGCAGCGATAACACGAGGTAAGCACGCGAGATAGATGATTACTGATGTGTGATTGAAAGCGTCCCAAATATGGCCTTTTGTTAATGGAGCCATAACTCCCGGCAGCGAGGGCACTAATTTGCCGCAACGCGACCCCCTTTGGTGCAGTGGCTGCCGAAGGCAGTAAAATGACGTTGGCAAAAGAGCGAGATCGCAGCAACGGTGTAACGGAGGGTTGAATGCTGGAGACGTTGCCGCGCGAGCGCGATGCGCGTTTGATGTATTCTCAATGGCACTGTCGGGAACCCAGCGGAACTACGCATACGTCCGTCACCTTACTTGTACCGCCGTTAGCAACAGAGAACTATATGTGATGACACCATTGTAACGCTACCGAAAGTGCATGGCCTTTTCTATGTTTGCCATTGCGTGAAAAATACACTTCAGCTCATTCGCGTGTCCATATCTGCTACCGTGAACTCATTCCGGAACTATGAAGAGAGTATATATACATGTTGAAGTTGCGGCACAGCTTACGGACGACTCGTCAGACTTTGACATGAGCGCGTACGGTTGCAGGACGATTCATTAGCGAAAACTGGCATGGCTATACATGAAACGCGTTACCATCGTACGTGAAGCTGACCAGCGTGCCCCTAGCTAGTTGCATGCAGTGCATCGCCTACTAAGCTCACTTCATCAGCGCCGTGCCCTGTAACGGATACGCGTGCATTTGCCCTTGCATAGATATTTTTTTCATCGTGCTCCCTCAGTACGGAACCGAGCACAGGTGTGAAGAATATATTGTCGAGCCAATGCGGCGGCGGTGAGTTGCGTTCGTTTCCACGAGAGATATGCACTTGCAGTCTCGCGCACAAGGGCGCAGCAGCGAACAGTATGGTCAGTACGCTTACATGAACTGTAATAGTGATGAAACTTTAAGCCACACGTACTGTCGTGCAGGCAGTACATGATTTAGATTGATTGAGATGTTTAACGAAAGAGGTTTGTTACGATGATGTGCCACTGCATTCGTTGGTAGCCATAGTCACGCACCCGTAAACTTTCATGCAGGCATCACTGCAATTGATCGTGCCGAAGTCATAGTAATCACTGCAGGATCTACTGGGGCTCTTATCACAAATGTGCAAAATCGTAGGTTCTTCACGGTGACATAGACAAATAGATATTTGTGAACATCGAATATTTGAGTTTAAATATTTAAAATTTTCGAATATGTGGTCATCGAATCAAATATGAATATTACAAATGTAATATTCAACAAATATTCAAAACTTTCGATTATTTGCACACCCCTAAATTATTTG